TCTACATATGATCCCACAAACTTAGTGAGTGAGTATTGAATATTTTTCTATTATTAGCTAAAAATCATATGTAGTCGTCAACCTATGTATGATCCTACAAACTTATTGAGTGATGTAAAATATATATATGTCAAGTTAATCATCTATCTATATATCATCCTACAAACTTATTGAGTAATTATAGCTGCGGGCTGAGAGGGTCACAATCAAATTAACAAGAATAAGACTTGAGTTTATTTACAGAAGCTAAGTAATATGCTATTTGTGTAAATGTCGGCAAAGCTTAAATATGAAATAACTGCTAATCAAAATCATTACTTCTCTTCTCCTGTCAAATGTTATGTTTTATGTTTAATTAGCCTTAAAAAGAGCTAAAGAAGTAGAAAAAGTTAACAACATTCAAACGCCAGTTTTAGTAAACGTACAAAAATTGAGAAGCTCTCGCCTCGTATAGAGAATCAAACAAAACATATATAAAACAAAATCTTGGTAAAATAATAATTGTTGAAATTGAAAATGAAATGTACGTATGTCGCTGCTACCATATTTAACATCCGCAATCAACCTGGCAATGTACATATAGCCGAATAATAAACAATGAAAGCTACAAGAGTTCACAACTATGTTCGCACAAAAAAAGGAATGACTAAGTGACAGCCATCTATCTAATCAACTTGATGAACAACATGTATACAAAAAGAAACAATACAGATGAATAAGTGAATGAACAACTCTATGGAATGAATGGCTTGTTAGCTTCCATTTATGTTTATAACCATAACCTAACATTAGTCACCAACTACTACGCAACCAGCACATATTACACTCAGTATGATACAAAACAAGTAAAAACATTATAGTGGGACCTGCTGCACCGCATTAATACTCTACATCAGTTCGCTTAGTTGTACTTAATCATATGGCGACTTTTCAAAATCAAAAAATTATTCTATGTTGAGTGAACGAAAAAGTGATCCGATCCGAATCATTTGCAATGGTGTTCCTACTTGGGCGAAAACATGTAGGTGCACTGCATTTCATAAAAATATATAGAAAATTGCGACCGGTTGGTTTAACGCAAGAAAATAAGGTAGACAGAGAGACAGGCAGACAGACAGACGAACTTACTCGATTCAGAAAGTGATTACGCATCGATTGGTATAATATAGGCAGACAGAGAGACAGACAGACAGACAGACAGACAGACAGACAAGCTTACTCGATTCAGAAAGTGATTACGCATCGATTGGTATAATAAAGGCAGACAGACTGACAGACAGACAAGCTTACTCGATTCAGAAAGTGATTGTGCATCGATTGGTTTATCTCAAATTTTTCTGGACGTTTGCAAGCATTCGCATAAACTTAATGTACCCCTTCCACTACAGGTGATGTAGGGTATAATAATATAAAGTAAGCAAGTGAAAAAACACCATACGCTACAAACTTTACTAATCGAATTATGTGATAATCACAAAAAATTTAACATAGAAAAAAAAAAAAAAAAAAAAAAAAAAAAAAAAAAGGAAAAACTAATATGCATAAATAAATAATGTATGTATCTTTTTACCGCAAGCATTATAATTTCAAATTACTGTTATTATTAAACAAGGGAAAAAAAAAATAGCGCAAAAACTGTGTGATGACAGGGCGGAAAACAAAAACAGCTGTCTCGTTATAAATTCATATTTTTTCTTAGGCGGCAACTTGTGTACTAACTTACTCCTGCTGTTAACGTCGTTACATTTTCTCCGAAAATAGTCAACGACGATAACACCCATTCATATTTATGTGCATATAAATAACGATAATAGAGTTTACTTGTCCCGACTACTTATCACTTTAATCATATTGCGTCGACCGAAACTTAAACAAATTGTTTACTAATCATCCTATTGCCATAGGCTATCAATCTTGTTTGTTATGTTGTGTATGCACATTAATGTTGTTAATGGTTTTAGATTGACTCATAAATTTCTTTAGCTTTCTTCTATCGCTCTTTTTACGCATATACATGCATGCATGACACACCCATATTCTAATTGAAAGGATGCTTAATCTTCGCCATTGTTCTTGCTTCTAATCGTTAGTCGTTAGTTAAAGTTATGTAGACAAAAATTACAGGAGAATAAAAATTGATTATGTTGTAAACGTACGTTCGTGCGCGATTAATAATATGTGTAAGGAATTTTGCCTATAAATAGGCAAAAATAATTTAAGCGCAAGCAATCAATGGCATATTGAACGAGTTTAATCGTTTTTGCGTTTGAGGTCAAATGTGCGATAAAATGTTTGGTTAAAGCAAAGTTTTGAAGAAACAATTATCAATATTGGATCGCACCCGCACAAAGCTATACACATGGTAAGTAAATCAATAAACGAGACTATGCCCATTTACAATAGCAACTATCTGCGCTTAAATCATTGCCTACGCTAAGAGTGCGGAATTGCCGTCTTACTGCTGAAACAGGCATATGCTTGTCCTTTTTATAGTCGTCAGATATCTTTCAACGAGTTTGTGACAAAAAAAGCAAGACATCTACAACCCCCATTTTTCATGGGCTATCCTACGCATTTTGCGTATTTTATAGCTTGAAAGCCTAATGTTTTACAACACAATATAATCATGTGTCTCCAATAGCTTATTGCGTTGCTCTCGAAGGAGTCACCTGAAAAAGTTTGTAAAGTCATCACCGGCGATTTGCTGACAAAGTCCTCTCTTTCAATTCGAAAGCAGAGATGTTTTTTCTGGCGACTTCTGCACAAATCAAGCGACAATTTTGAACTAACTAAAGACATATCTGAAGCAATTTTCCGATTTTTTAATAACGCTATCCTTCACTAGTTAATTTTTTTTTTTTTTTTTTTTTAACCATCCATTCAAAGTATACCCTCTTCACATGTAGAGAGGTAGGAGGAAAGAGATAGCGATAGGACACACCCAAGCAAATTCATTGCCCCATGCATAAGTGCGTTACTTCTGCTATAGTTTTGTGATGATTAATGAGCAAAAATCCAACATTTTATTTCTTTTCAACAACAGAAGTGACCTCAATTTACCTACTATTGTAGGATTGTCCTTTTATCGATTTGGCTGATTATTAATACCAACCTATACCGTGCAAGAACTTGCAATGTTTCTGCCAAATTTGAAGTTCATAGCTTCATTTTTGTCACCAAGAGAATGCTTACGATAGATAATACCCGGACGGACATCCTTAAATAGAATTTGATGCTAATCAAGAATATATATATATGTATATACTATATTGTAGGGTTATCTAATGCTTTTATGTGGGCGTTGCAAACGTTTCGGCAAAATGAATATATCCCCTATATTTCGGTTATGGGTATAGAAAGATTGAAATTTTTTTGAATGAATCAAATCGCTTTCAATAACACGATTATAAGATACTGAAAAGACTAAAATCAAATAAAATTTACATAATTTATAAAATATTTTATTCCAAACGGATGCATTTCTACAGTTGTCTGAATCACATTTTCAATTTAAGATAATTCTACTGCCAAAGAGGTCAACCAGATTGCACACAGAACACAAAATTGATAGACATCTGAAGTGTAAAAAATTCAAATATTTTTACTTCTAACGGAAACAGAGATAAAGAAAAAGACGCAAGTAAATCTCTTAATAAAAAAAATAAAAATAATTATAATTTTAAAAAACTAGAACAAAATCAATTTTTAAAATCATTTAAATCAATCAAGTATTTATGGATGTAATTAAGTGGAACCGAGCGATTATTTAAAAAGTTGCTTATAAAACATTGTAAATATATGCAATTTGATCATTTGCGGGTTAAGTAAAGCTTTTCATGATAGCGTTCATACATATCATAGAACATGATCCAAGGTTAGAAAATTCAATTTTCTTGTTAAATAACCTATGATTCTTCACCTAACGTAAAGTTCAATTTCTCTCTCATATAAAAGTTAAGTTCTCTTCAGAAAGCCTGGGATACAGCAACTGATCTAAATGACCCATATTAGGTAGGGATAACTCTTATATCAGATTTCTGTAATGGAAAGTTATTTTCGATCGAAATTTCTTTTTTCACCTTGATAGGCCGAAGCATTATCAGTTAGCAAACTCTGCCATGAAATTTTCAAGTTACACAAGTTTCTTCACGAAACGACTCGTTCACAAGTAAAGCGAACAAGAGCGATCGTGAGCGCTCGTGATAATTTTCTTGAGCGCTAAACCTTTTCTTTAACAAGGTTTATCCTTATTTTGCTCAGTCTATTGAATTTAGTGCAGCAATCTCAACAGTTATAACCTAAAGGTTAAGCAAAAAAAACATACACAC